AGGAAAGCCCCAGAGGGGGGTGGCGGCAGCCGGTGCTGCTTTCCTGGCACCACTCCTTTGCTATCCATCTTTCCAAGAAGGGAGGATGAAGACAACAGCTCACTCCACAGCATCTCAGGCAATTGCACCATCCGGGATTTGCCTCAAACAATAGCAGCTGCTCCCAGGCAGCAAGTGGGGAATTTCCCTGGCTGAGGTGGGGTCAGGCATGCTGGGGTGCCTCCATTTTGACAGCACCTTCCACTGCTGGTTCCGTAATGCGTCGCACGTGCTCTTCTGGCTTGCAGAAGGGGCAGGGAAGGGTGGTGAGCTGAACAACAGAAGGGATGTGGAGATAACCCTGCCGTCTCCTCTGCTTTCGGCCTGGGGGAATCTAACACTCAGGGAAGACCCATGCCCTACATTTTATTTAACACCCTCCCAAGCCAGGAGATGGGGCAGGATCTTTCTGTCCTTTTTGCAGAAGAAGAAACCTCTGCACAGTAAGGCAGCGAGATGTCAGGCACGATAGCAGAAGGAGGGATCCACAACCTGGTCTTCCAGCACTTCCTGTGCTCTGTCTTCAGCCCCGAATCCAGACACTCAGCAGGATGGCACAGGAATGGATCGCCCAGCCTCGGCCTTGAGCACTGGAAAGGCTCAGCAAGCAGGGAGCCCCTGCGCTCCCACTCACCTTTTGCCGTGCGAGGGAGGGAGCAGAACCTGATGGAGTGGGTGGGTTGTGGCAGCTCCTGCAGCCTTCACATGCCTGGGGTAATGCTCAGCCTCCGAACGCTGCGCGGGAGCAGGGTGGGTTAGATCACATGAGACCTCAGGTGCCCACAGCAAGAACAAACATTTATTAGAGTGCGTGTTAACTCTCCTCACCCTGCGCTTATTCTGATGGCATTTGGGGGTGCTAGAGGACGCTCCATCTACCGTACAGTGTGAAAAGGAGTCCTCTCCCGCTCCTTCCCTGGGTAAGCTGGAGATCCCCACAAGTCAGACCCATGGCAGAGAGGGGGAATTCAGTCCTGCCACAGGGCACAAATACTGAAAGAAAAGCCTCCCCTGTGTAGTGTTCATAGTGCCACCTTCTTCTCTCCGAGAAGGCAGCCTGAGGCCAACAAAACTTTTCTTCCAAGAGGGTAAAGGGGGGATAACATCTCCCAAAGTGGCTCTGCTCCCATGGAACTGTGGGCAGGCGAGGTCCCAGTGGGAGCAAGGCAACAGCGCAGAGCGAAGAGGCAGCCCAACAGGCCAAAGGAGTCCAGCTGCTCATTCAGAGCACACAACAGGCTTCCCCGAGATCTTCAGGTCATCGAACGGCAGCAAGGCAAGGAGCTGCAAAGGCCAAGGGTGCAGAAGTATAAGGATCCAGGGCCGTGTCTCCACTGGGGCTGGGGTAGGGGCCCAGAACTGCCCCCCCAGCGCTGCAGCCTCCCACCTCCCTGGGGAAGTGCCATGAAACACTGGCAAACCCTAGGGCTTGAGGCAACAGGCACTCCATGCCAGAGCCAACGCCTGCACCCTGTAGGGGAGGGCAGGCATGGCTAGAAAATCTGCCTAAGAGCTCCCCGCAAATTGTCCGACTCCTACACCCCCCAACATGCTTGCAAAGGGTGGGCCTCCCCCCACGCAGACTCACGTCGTCATTGCCGTCAGCCAGGTCCTGGGCTGTCTCATTCTCCATGTTCCTCAGCAGGGTGTCAGCCCCGGAATGTGAGAGGATGGCAGCAATGGCAGCATCCTTGCGGCCCACGGCCAGGTGGAGTGGGGTGCACCCGTTGTACATCTGGGCGTCCACATACGCCCCGTTGCGCAGCAGGAACTGGACAGCCCTGCGGTTGTGGCATTCCACGGCCAGGTGCAATGGGGTCTTCCCACTCGTGCCCTCCTGCAACCCACAGACCACAAGGTTGTGGGTGTGGGGTCCCCTCAGATGGGACCTGCAGCACCCATCCGCACCCCCTCAACAGGGTGCGGAAGGGGCAGTCCCCACCCTGACTGTTGTCACAGCACCCAACAGCCCCTCAAGGACCTTTTCCCTCTGCTCCCTCAAAATTCGGTGCCACAGTAGTGCCTGCCCCGAGGCCGGAGGGAGCGCCCAAGGGAGCCACACACCATGCCCAGCCTTACCCAAACATTGAATCATGCCCAGCCTTACCCGAACATCAATGTTGGCACCGCTCTCCAGCAGCAGAGACATCATCGGGATGTTCCCCTTCAAGGTGCTGATGTGCAGACAGGCCAAGCCTGGGATGGGGAGGCAGGAGAGAGAGCCATAGTCAGCCTGGACCACTCCGATGCATGCCAACCCCGG